CAATTATTTGCTTGCATCAGCACATTTTATGACCTGTACTTCAACTGATAGTGTTAGTTAAAGTACACAAGCATATGTTTGGTTTTATAATCAAAGCAGATACTAAAACATGCATTTGGCTTTTAAATTATCTAATCTATCTAATCAATTATTTGCTTGCATCAGCACATTTTTGGACATGTTTAGACCTCACATTAATAGCTACTAAAGGGAAAAAATAGCAACTAAAGGAAAAAAAAATAGAAGAGCATTATCCAGCCTTCGTCTTATAAAGGAAAAATGTTAAAAATTCTGTTGCGTGCCCACAGTTAAAGAAAAATTTACATAAATAAAACACAGTTGTCTGTTATGAAACTGTTTATCAGCGATATAAGACCCTATTGAACCGAAAAACAGAACAGACATTGTGTTTTAATGTTATTATTAAAACTGAAATCAAAATGCTCTTCTCTCTGCTATGGACCACATCTGCCCATAACACTATTTATTACTTCAGTTTCTTAAATTATTACTTTTGAGCCCTTGGTGATAGAGGGACATTTTTTTGGAATTATTGTAATTTTTAAATGGTTCATCAAAAATGTTTCTTAAATATTGTGTATTAAGGTTAATAGTTTACATTTATGGTTCCTTCCAAATCCATTGCACTGGGGTACAGAGGAAAAAACTGTGTTCTTGCCTTTTATGATCAGATAATGCACCATCATTTTTCAGTTTTACACAGTTATATAGTTAAATGTTTCCATGTGAAATAAGACACTTAATGAACTGACAACCTGTTCAGGTGTAAGTACCCCTTCTTGCTCTATGATAGATAGGGGAGAGGATGCAATCCCCTCACCCCTGTAACCCTGCAACCCTAAACTGAATAGGTGAAAGAACATGGATGAATATGAATATGAATGCATAAGAGGATGAATACCAGACAAAGGTTTATGAAATAGGGGAAACCACTGAAATTGCACCAAAGGTAATACGTTGGTACTGTTAGCTAAGTTTAAAGATTAACTTAAAAGTGCCTTTTCTTTTCTTCTTCATTAATCTCAATTTGATTTGTTTTAATTTGTGAATTATTCATTTACGATCCAAACTCAAGTTTATTCCAGTTCATTGTGTGAGACTGAAGTGGACGCGTCATTAAACACACATAAGCTCAAGGAGCAGGAATGAGGAAACCAGCCTACATTTCCCAGCACTATTTGGCATTTTATCACATCTTTATGTTTGCACTCCAAATAAACACACTTGAAAGACAAAACCAGCTATCAGCTTTTTCTTTCACTCTGTAGATGTTCTGATGGTTTCAGTTGAAGTATATGTGCATATTTCTTCTTATAATCATTTTTGAACTATCTAATGGGTGTGATTCATTTATTGACAAACCAGTAAGGCTACTTTATTGCATCATTAGCTAGCTGACTCTTTAAGCACCTCTGGGATATGTAACACAGAACATGTCAGACAATGCCTTTTTGCGTTTCTTGTCATTTTATTTAGATGAAAACACACAAACAGAAATACTGAAATTATCTTCTTTGAATGACAACAGAAACAGATATATAGATTAAAAGCAACAATCTTTTACACTGTTTAGGAATCCATTGTTTGGAAAAGCACAACTCTTAATGCATTGTATATACAGCAGCAATACTGGAAAGCATTCAGTAGATAGAACCCACCTAATGTTCCCTTTGTAATGTAACTTCTTATCTCAAAATATTGATTTTTTCATGAACCGGGATAATAACAATATATGTCTATATTACAATATTAAAATTGTCAGATGGCTTAACATCTAGATTTTTTCATATTATGATTTGAATATTTTTATGTGCAAGAATATTTGTGTTGCTGTTAGGCTACTGTGTAACTCCAACAAAACCAAAGTCTATTGCAGTTGTGAGAGAAGGTTCCTGCAGTCCCTGAGCTGGTCCAGGTCCTCCACCACTTCAATCAGCCGCTCGACCTTCTCTGAGGGAAGCGCCACCTCTGCGTTGCTCCTGAACTTCTTCCTCAGGCTGTCGTTGGACAGTGGATTGCGCCAGTGACCGTAGAAGGTGTTGCAGCGTCCCTTCACAGTGTCGCCCCCAACCAGGGTTAGCTGGACTTCACCGTACATGCGGTTGAAATTAGCGGGGTTGTCATTGGGATGCTCCAGGCGAACACGGCTCAGCAGAGCGTGCAGGTCAGGGCGGCTCATGGCAGCGGGGGTGAAGGACTGCACAGTCACTTCTCCATCCAGGAGAGCAGTGCAAGCATTGAACTGGAAGGAGTGGCGTGCCTCGTGCTCAGACTCTGGGAAAGGTCTGTTTATGTACTTCGATTTGGGGACTCTGAGCAGGATGTCCTCCACCTGAGCTGGGGAGACAGTGCCAGGGCCAACTCCAACGAGAACCTTATGGACTGAGGCTGCAGCATCCGCCACCCAGTGCATCCCCAGATGAGCAGGGAAGCGTTTGAAACCAATGTCCTGTTCCTCCAGCAGGAACATATGGCTGTCATTACCGGGTGATTGTAAAGGCTGTGGTACATAATCTTCATAAAAAGCACTGAAGCCGGCTACCCCTGCAACAGCATCTAGGACCAAAGGACTTGCCTCTAAGCCTCTGGAAGCCAGCAGAGCTGCTTCTAGGCCCAAACGGGAGGCATTGCCAATGTGGAGGGGTTTGGACTGAGTGGCAGCATTAGCCATTGGGGCTCCTGCTAGAGAAGCAGCTATAGCCAATGCATGACTGCTCTGGATGGGGTCCAGAGATAAGAGGCATGCACACGCAGCAGCACTTCCCATGGTGCCTACCACACTAGGAGGGTGGAACCTGTTGGAAAATTCATCAGAAAGAAACAGAAACTTTGGTTAGATGTTTTTAAATTTTAAATGGGTGCTACATATCGTAATGGTCACAATAGAGCTCCTGTGTGAAAGATTGTATTTCCAAACAGCCTCTCACTTGTGTAACTCAGCTCATTTCATGAGTGGTAAGAGGTTTTTAGTCATTTTAGTCATCAACAAGCACATAATGTGGTGACACATTTGAGTGTGTAAGCACATGGTAAAAAGAGTCCTCTGTCATATTCTGCTCCACATGGCTAAGCAGTGCTAAAACTACACACAGAGTCTCAGCTGTCCCCGCATGAGCATGAAAATACGCCTTTTAGAGCTTGTTGACACAATTCATAGAGCGTGCATTACACCCTCCACAGCCTGCTTGGAAACTGCAGGGTAGAGATCAGCAGAACCAGAGTCATTTATGCAGAATCGTCAATGAGAAACTAACCTAATATCAATGATACAATCATTTAAGGATAGCATACTGCAATGTAGCTATAGAGCTCTAAAGCACTCACCTCTTGGGGATATTGTGGGCCTCATTAGAGAACCTCAGTAGTCGGCCTTGAATCTCAATGCCAACATTGAAAGCCAGCAAGAAGTCCAGGCCACTGGGCTTATTGTTAGCTGGCATCATGTCACTGAGAGCTAACACAGCAGGAAGGACAGCTCCGGAGGGGTGAGTGGCAGGGTGCCATGTATCATCAAAGTCCATGGAGTGAGTCTGAACCAAAAAGATTTTAATGATCAAATGATAGGACATCAAAGCCCAGCACAGCATTAGTTTAATGTTAAAATGAATTAGATGGCTACTGATACATTTCCTGAGCTGATGGCAAAAACAGGTGCTTGCTGTTAGAGATATGACCCAGTACCAAGCATCGTGTTTGCGCTTAAATGATGTAATTTAGCTCTCTACACCCAAATTATTATTTTTAGTGCGCACACTCTTCCTGGCTAAACTCAGTCACAGGTGGTTTTTCATTAGAAAATCCTCTCACTTTACAATCTTTTACTGTCTGAGACATAACAGGCTATAGAAATGAGCTTGGCACCCTAATGGCATCTTTAAAAAGCAATGTTTGCAGATGTCCTGATGTAATGATGGAAATTTTTGGGATTTTCCACCAAGTCCTGCTTTTGTTTACCGTCCAGGATTGGACCAAAAACTGAGCACACACACATGCAACTTTTTAGGAGTGGTACGGGTTTCTGTGCACGTGAAATTGTCTGGTGCACGCTGACACATCTGTTCCACTTATTCATACTCACCGCCACTCCATTGACAAAAGCTGCCAGTATCGGGGAGAGTCTGATGCCCCTGTGTCCATACACAGAGCTGGTGTCACCGGGAGCGTACATGTTCTGAGGGGAAGCGACGGAGACAGGTAAGCACAATGCAACATTTGACACTCTCAGTGTACACAGTCACACACACAAACACACACAAACTAAACGTTTAAAAGCTTTAAATAACGATGGGACCTCAACAGGTTTCTTTGTAAGTTATATGACAAACACCTAAACTAAAAAAATCATCAGAAAGAAAATAAAAAACAATAAAATAAAAGGTGAGGCTTCTGCTTTCACCTGTCTCACTGCCTTATATGGGAGGAAACATTAATAAGAAACCTTTATTTTTAATCCCTTTCCCCAACTCACCTGGCAGTGCTGGAGGGCCAGTTCAAACACATCTGTTGTGCTTCCGATCAGCCCAACTCCAATGCTGTCCAGCACCATTCTTTTACTGCGGTGCAGCACTACAGGGGATAGATGCTGGGGCTTAATTTCACTGATAAACTTCCCAAAACTGGCTGTGACTGTGTCCTCGGGCGCTGGCTGCTTCAAGACTGCAGGGAGGAATGAATGAATGAAAGAAGAATGCAATGGGGAAAAAAAAAACACGGTCTGGACTAAGCAAAAGGAAAATGTGAAACAGAGAAATATGTTTCCTGGTGAACTGACAGAATGAAACACAACAAAGGTTTTACCTTCCACTGCAGATTTATGGATTGCTCTGGCAGCCCACACAGGTCTAATGGCTTTCTACAGGACAAAGAGCGCAGAATATTAATAGCAACACCTATGCTAAAATTAACACGCATTGTACTTTCTTTTTAAAACATCTCAGATCTATTACGCTCTCTAGAGACAGTTATTTTCTATTCTGGCTTTGTTAAAGTCTCAGTGGACATCGGCATTACTGCAATGAGTAGAACTCAGCCCGTGTGACTTTTTTTGAAAGAGCTGTTGTTCTGACACGATGCTGGTGTAACAGGTGTAAGACAGCATGACTAACCTGCTGAAAATTTACCAAGAGCTCATTTAAGTATCACTCTGCTGTCTACTCAGAGAAACAACTACTCACTGCAAAAATATGATATTAGGATTTATGTTTTTCTTATTTACTAGACTGAATTAAGTCTGCCAGACAATTTAAAATTAAGACTTAACTTAATTAAATTAAGTTGATTGGACTTATGAATATAATGTTTTCTACTAAAAATAGTAATACAAAAATAACTTTTAACTTTTACCTTTACAGTTGAAATCATGGTTCCAGTCTGGTGTTTCTGTCAAGTTGACTGTCCTTCTTTCTCTTTCTTCTCAATGCAGCAGTTTTACCAGCAGCACTTTGTCAGGGATGCTGATGCTTCTAAGTGTGAGACGATACCTGCCTTATATAGTCTAATCTTATACCTGACTCAAAGGAACAGGGAAGGGCAGGCATATCCATAACAAAGACTTTTCATTTAAAAAAAAAAAAGGAATTTCCACTGTGGGCAACGTCTTCAACATCACCATCGTCACAGCAGGAGGAGGAGGAAAGATTTACTTTACTGTCCAAAGTGCAAAGATGATGTCACATCTAAGGGCTTTGGGACAGGGGAAATTACAGCAACTCCTCCTACATGTAGCAAACCCTTATTTATGTCAAACTGTCATTCCTACTTCAGAAGAGTTTGCCTGTTCATCTTTCTAAGATTCTCTGCCAGGTATGACTTTATTTTCACTTTCTTTATTACTTTATTATTTAGAGGAACATGTAACCCAGGTACAACTTAAAAAGCTGTACTGATTAAGATGATGTTTTTACATGAGTTAAATAGCTTTACTTGGTTAAAAATATGTAACCATTTAAAGTTAAATATGAGCTAAATGACTCTATCTAATTGATCTAACAGATCCTGTTTTCTGTTAAATATTCAGTAAATGTTTTTCATTAGATATGAATAAAATTCCCTGTTAGTGCTCAGTGACAATTTTCCAGTTACTGGAGCAGGAAAGTTGAATACGAGTTCTCTGTGTGTCTCTGCTGCCTTTAGGAGAGCTTGTAATCACAGCCCCTCAGCCTTAAATGTTTAGTGAGTTACATATTGTTTTAGCCTAACTATAGTTAATTAACAAGATGTAAGTGAAGTTGTGTGATTCAGTATGCTTTATAGTGTATTTTTGGAATATTTCTAATCATTATAATTTACTTTTCTTTCTATTTTTATAAATGGGAAAATGACTCATGAATCTATTAATAATTATTTAGAATTTCTATTCATTTATTTATGTATTTTTCCACAATGTTTAAGTTGTTTTAACACTACATTACATTAGACAGATAAAAAGAAGATTAAGACCGATTCTGAAATGTATTTTGAATGATTTGCATTGTTTGCCTCATTTGCTTCGTTGCACATCTGTAGATTGACAGCAAAACTATCATGGCAACACTAGAAGGGTTTCCTGCCAGTTTCTATGGGGAACCAGGAGTACTGGGCATGCTAGCCAATGGGATCAGTGCATTCCTCGTACTTCTGCAGAATTTCAATACAGCCCACACTGGCAAAGAAGCATATGGGGTGGAGAACATACTTGCAGGTACATATTTTTGACAATCAGCTATAATAATGTAAAAAAGAAAAAAGAAAAAAGGAAGAGTTGGCTAAGTCATTTTTATTTTATTTAACAGGTGTTCATCTCATCCTGATTGGAGGTATATGCCAACTTATTGCCGGGCTACTTTCCTTTAGAAAATACGATCACCTGAGTGGCACTGCCTTTATTGGCTATGCTGCTCTTTGGGCTAGTTATGGGGCGACCCGAATCTACTCTGGTGTCTCTGACAATCAAACAACAAATCAGACAAGCAATTTGTCTCTGTCCACTGACCTCATGACCAACATATCTCTGAATGGCTCCGAAGAGATACCAGGTGGCTATTTCTTCCTGTCCATAAAAGAGTCAGCCATTGCGGGTCTGATCCCCTACATTTTACTGTCCTTTCTCCTGGCATTTTGCTCTGCCACAGTCAACTACATCATGCCTTTTGTTTTTGGGGCCATCACTGCCACTTTAATCTTTGAAGCAGTGGGTATAGTAGCAAGCTCCTGGGCTCTCGTAGTATCCGGGGTCCTGGAGTTGCTCATTTTGATCTTTGCCATCTACGGTTCAGCTGTACTGCTCCTCAAAGGTTTGACCCAACGTCTAGCCCTCAAAGGCTTTGGGACCCCCCTCTTTAATGTTCTTCTCTTAGGAATCGGAAACTCAGCAAGTGCCCAGAGCATTGGCCAAGAGAAGAAGAAAAACACCAAATATGCTGAACCCATGGCGTTGGGTTTCTTCTGTGACTCTATAGCTCCTTTCATCTTTGCTTTCTACAGCTTCGGGTACATGAAGTCATTTGGTTTAGGAGCTGCCTGGGTCTCAATCATCTCATTCGCCCAATTGTTCTCTAGCTACTATGCCCATCTGCGCCAAGACTGCTACCACACTACAAAGTTTGGATTTCATGCCACATATTGGCTGATTAAGGCTTGGGGTGAGTTTGTGGCGTCTACTCTGATCGGAAATAAGAGCGAAGTAGGCTCTGCTAGAGAAGCAATGGTGGGAAACTGGTTCTTTGTGGTGGCAGGCTTGATTCTGTGTGTGGGAAGTCTGAATATGGACATCCTAGAACTGATCCACAACATGCTTTTTGTCCTAGTCACAGTTTCAACAGTACCCCAGATTCCACTTGAGGGTTACTACATCTTCTTTGGTGTAGCTTGCGCTCTGTTTACCGCAGTCTCCATCTATGGCACCTTTGCACGTCTCGTCAACAGTATAGCAGAAAAGTTACTAATCCCTGTAGGGAAGCAGCCTGTCTCCACTGCAAATATGAAGAAGGCTTTGAAGTGGGGCAAGTCCCAACAAGTAGGCAGCGAGATGGTGCCCCACACTGACCAGACCTCCGATGTTCTGTTTTACCTTTTAAATGGGGTCGCAGCTCTGTCAGCTATTCATTCGAAGGTGTCCAGTATGAATCCCACGTTCCTTCATCTGACCATCCCTTGGGTCCTGATCTCTGGAGCGATCATCCAGGCTTACGTCAGCAGGTTGCAAGTCACAGGTGGTGGTCGGTTTGGGTCAGTCATCTCGTCCATCTATGTGGGAGTATGGGCGACATGGACCTGGTTTCGATTCGCAGGTATGCCAGTACAAACACTAGTGTGGACATTTCTCTTTCTGATTTAGAAAAGATTCTTAACCCAAGTTATTTTTTTTCTAGGTACCCTGCTTCAGCTCTCCACAGGGGCAGCTTATGCTTTCACAGCAGGAGCCATTGCCCTCCTGGTCATTAATGGTTTCCTCATGTTGATTGGTAAGATTAAAATTCACTGTTAGTCTCAATAGAAGATATGTTGATTGGATTATTTGTTTCAAGAAGGTTTTTTTTTATGTGTCCGTGTGTGTTAGCTGCCTATAAGAACCTGGTTTTGCTGCTTCTGACGACTGTGATGGAAGTTGCTCTTGTCTGTTTCCTGCTCTCCACCCTCCAGCGACTGCCATATAGGCTGGAAAGTAAGTATAGATAAAGCCTCATTTTTAAACATAGGATTCACTTTTGATTAAAAATGATATAAAATGTTATAGAGACTGTCAAGCTGATTATTTCTAAAACTCTGGGGTTTTTTTTTTTTTTTTTTTTAAGTTGCCATGCTTGCACTGGTGGCAATAATTTGTGTATATGGCATTCTGGCAACACTGGTGAGCGGCATCTTCTCAGAGAGACTCATACCTATGGGTCCTCCCTTACTAAAGGTAAGCAGAGATGAAACTGACTTTGTGCTCCTTCTCAAAGTCAGTTTTTCAAACAGGCCCTCTCCACTGTGTCCTGTCTTAGGAGGTAAAGAAGCAGGAAACATCACCAGAGCTGCCATGTCCGATAGCCAGCTCACGACTTACCAGCGGTCTCTTGAAGATCGCTGGAATTCTGGAGGAAGGAGGAGTATGCGGCATTCCGACAGACACCGTGTACGCCCTAGCTGCATCCTGCAAAAATCCTCAGGCCATTGAAAAAATATACAATATTAAAGTAAGAGTCATTAAAAGATTGGCAAATGAATTCAATATTCACGTATCTGTAATGTATAAAGCTTATTAATCTGCAATCTATAACCTGTTCCAGGACAGACCAGCCGAGAAGCCCATATGTGTTTGCATTTCTAGCGTGGAACAGCTGGTGGCAGCCAAGCCTCCTTTCAGTCCTCTGCTCTGGGAGTTTATGAGGAATGTGTATCCTGGAGGCATCAGCTGCATTGTCAAGAAAGGAGACTGGCTGTTCCAACTCGGTAAACTGGTGTAGTGCAGCGTAAATATGGTGTTACTGGAATCTGTGTCATTTATCAGCACTCACCTCAGCTCAATCTGTCTGTGTAGGAGTGGGACCAGCTTATGACCGTGTTGGGACTCGGGACAGCATCATGATTCGTGTCCCTGACCACACGGTTACCGGCCACTTGTGTAATATTACTGGACCGCTTGCTATCACCTCAGCCAATCCAAGTGGAGAGGCAGACAGCACCCACCACAGCATGGTCATTGAGTAAGAGCTTGCAAACAGCTTACAAAGTAGTAGACTGAGCTAACCTGTGACAGTATGTGTAGCCCCTTTACAGCAAATGTTTCTGTAGAAGAGTGACAAATTATTTATTTTACGATGTGGAGTATTAGTAATAGATGATTGCTAACCGCTCATTTACCCACCCTTTTCTGGCACAGTCGACTCGGACACAAGATCCAAGGAGTTCTGTGTGATGGAGACTCTAATGAAGTTGTTGCTTCCACTGTGGTTAACTGCTTGAAGATTGATGAAGGTGAACGCAAAAGAAGTCACATAAAATTCAAATTTGGATGTTTTATGAAGCACCATCTAACTTATCTCACTCTTTCTGCAGGCACCATCACCATTGTGAGAGAAGGCTGTGTCCCTGCAGTTAAAGTTTACCAGATCTTTGAGCGAATAAAAAGCACTATGTTGTGATTGTTACGATCCTTTTCTTTAAGGGAGCACATGCTTGAATGGTTGCCTTCAGGATCAGCAGCTTTATCTGTCATTCTGTCTCTTTCTTTTCAATACTCTCAGGAACTCTCAATGCTCTTATTCATGCTTTCTTTTTATGTAGTTGTATTTGTGGATGTATGGGTATATGTTACAATAAAAACTCCATCTGTACCATCTATTAGCTGTAGTAGGAACTTTATCTTGAAATTGTATGCGGATGAAGAAACTGCTGTGATACTACAGCTTCATGAAGATAACATGTCTCGGATGTGCCATTATAAAAATTATTTTTATGCTAACTACAGTTATAGTAACACATATATGTAAAATTGTTGTTGTATATATGTATTTAAATTATATTCTTTTCTTGGGTATGTATATGTATTTAAGTTCTTTATGTTCAATTAATTATGCTGAAATAAATAAATACATTAACTGATATTGTCTTCATGCTGTTGTTAATATTCCATAGTCATATATTATTATATATATATTTAAAGCATTTTGACCTGTTTTTATTATTCAGCATTAAGAGAAAACAAACAGATTTTTAGAAAGATCCTTTACTGAAGCAGAGACTGAACCGATATGCACCAAGTTTCACTTCACGATACAGAAATAGTCATGAATATAAATGAACACTTTGCAAAAGTCTTGAGCCACCCTTCATTTCCTTATATTTTGCTTCCAATGAGCAAGGCTTTCCGGCCACTGTTTTTAAAGCGGTCCTAGTGGACCAGTTTTTAGTTCTCCAGTTCTGTCTGAAGGTCTTCCAATGTTTTTCTTTGGACATTAGCTGCCTTTTCACTCATTTTCAGTTCAGCTCTTGTACCTAAACATGTTCAAAGGAATGACTTTTTTTCTGTGAATGAATCACTCCGGCATTTAAAAAGTAATCTAACTGGAAGAACCAGTGTTGTGTCTACACATAACAGACAACTTTCCAAAGAATCCATTCTATGTTGGGTAGTTTGTTGCTAGAGCAGCAGTTGGAAATTAGTTGGAAAAACATATGATTTGCCCTCTTTTTTTTTTCAGTTAAATGCTATGAAAAATGCTAATGATAACATAGCCTAGAAGGCAGGAAATTGTATCTTATGTGTCAATAAAGTGATTTCTAAAGAGCTATTAGTAGAAAACTACAACAGATGAGCAACATCTGAAAGTTACATCCTTAAAAAATAAGAAAGAAAATCCAGCAATGACCTGACAGAGGACCTGAGATATAGATCTGGCCCTGCAGTGGATCCATCTAACGTTGACTGAAGCCTCATCAGTAATGGTACAATGGTGTCATTTGAAAGGAGGCTGAAAAGAAACCGTTCAAGCGTTTGTTTTCCAAAAACATGTCAAGACAGCTTGTGTAAAACATTTGGGCACTTGTCTATAGAATATACATTATTAGGTTCATTGCTTCAAGCAAGCTGTCACTTTTTGCTTTCTCTTGATCAAAAACATGAATTGTGCGGCTATGGTAGTGTGTGCAAAAGCCTCATTTTCTTATCTCTTTATATTTTGCTTCCGAAGAGAGAAAATTTATTGTCATCTTTTAAAGTGCTCTTGAGCAATAGTTTGTTTGTTTTTTTGTTTTCTTTTAAGCTCTTTCAAAGTTTTTCTTTGTACATTGCCTGTTTTTTCCAAGGTTAGAGGTTAGGAGGCTTTTGTACTTGACCATTTACAGAGGAATATTTTATTTTATTCGTTAAGCCACTTAACACTGACCTGTGAATCATATGTCATCATGCAGTCTTATTGGACGATTGGCTTTCAGGAAGTCATTTTTTAAAAATGGAAGGAGGAGAATAGGCTGAGGTATGCCAAATTACACAAGAACTGGACTGAAAATCAGTAGTACCAGGTCTGGGGTGATGAGTCATTTGATCACTATGTACAGATGGAAAGAGGAGAGAGCTACAACATTGAGTGTCTACAGTCACCTGTTAAACACAGTGGAGGCCGTATCATGATGGTTGTCAGTTGGAGATCTTTGTCAGTGATCCACAACACACTGCAGTAAAAACATACCTGAACAGAACACACACCACATAACTATTAGTCATAGACTGGCCTCCCCAGTGCCCAGACCCCAACATTATTGAAGAAGTGTGAGATCATCTTGACAGAGAAGGGACAAAAAGACTGCCAACATCCAGAGAACAGCTTTGAATGTCCTTCAAGAAGCCCAGAGAACTATTCCTGAAGACAACATAAAGATAGCAAGAAACAAGAGAGCCTGCCTGAGTGAGTTCAGGCTTTGCTGAACAATAAAGATGTTCAAAGCAAATATTGACTTTCAAGCTTGTTAGAATTTTACAAACTCTATTTTTTGGCTTACATACTACATTTCCATTTATTTTTCAATAAATTGCTGCACCTGCTGCTTATTTTTCAGAAAAAATAAAAATAAATGAAGGCTAGTTCATGACACAGTAGTACAAACATAAACATGTTTAAAATTGAAACCAGAAAACACAAATACCCTAAGAATAATGCCCCAACTAAGGTATAGTATCCACACAAACATAATATGATATAATTATGTATAAAATTATATATTATATATTATAATAATATAAAAACATAGTACAAAGTTGCTTTAATTGTATATATGAGAGCATGAGGGTGGGAATGGATGTTTGTATCTGTGTGTGCCTGTTTTTCTGTGTCTATATGTCAGGTCTGGTATCAGACGCCACCTCTCTGGGGACATCTCAGGCCCTCCAAGGTATGGAGGCCTATCTACCGCCACCACTCCCCCTGCCAGTGGCAGACGCCCTCAGACATCGGTGCATTGGTGGTCCTTGGTGTCCGGGGATGGGCGTCCAGGTACACACCGGCTCACTCCTGGTGGCTGCTTGTCGGGGCTTGGAGCCTGGGGCTCGCTCAGGCCCCTTCGGGGGGTGGGGTGCCCTTGGTCACTCTGGCACAGCTGGCTGCCGGTGGAGCTCACGGACACGTCACTGCAACCCCCCCTGGCTTCTGCTCCGTGGCTGCTGAGTGACCCCTCATCTGGGGCTCTCCTCAGCTCTTTCTGGGATAGTAGCACAGCTGCCCCTCTTTTGGTCTTCCTTGGTCTCTTGTGCTCTGAGGGTCTCTGGATGTCTGGAGCCTGGATCTCCTCCATACCTGCTTCATGCCCTGGAGGATGGGGCTATGGCCCCCCACACCCTCTAGCAGATCGTTACATGAAGGAACCTTTTAAATACAAGCGCGTTCATGCTCACAGGTGAACACACGGGTGCTCACAGACACAAACTACACTCTTTTTGGCTCCTACCTCAAAGCACACTGTGCGCTGTCGATCCTGTGCTGCACAATAATGTTTAATATTTAGTATTTACTGTTATATTCACATAGATCATCGCGATGATGTTGTTTATTATATTGCTCTCTTTTTTGCTTGTTTTCTCTTTTTTCTTTTTCAACAGGTGATCCAGGTGATTGATATATGTATTTTTTGTCTGTAAAAAAAAAGGTATACTATCCACACAAACATAATATAATATAATTATGTATAAAATTATATATTATATATTATAATAATATAATTGTATACAATGTAAGGCCAGAAAAGACAAATACATTAAACCAACCTTAATGACAGGTTGGAAACGCGACACTGTCCAAATAAAGGGTCAATATCTTTGTTAAAGATGCAAAGAAAATAAAAGAAAGATTGTTTTAAAAGTCGAAATATGCCAAAGAAAATGTGATTAACACCATAAATCCTAGCAATCCAAAGAAAAGCATTTTAAATCTATTTTTTTCTTCAAATTTTTTTCTTCACTATTTTATTAATGAAGTGTGTTATACTTTTACTGTAGGTTCAGTTTAAGCTGAGAACAAAGGCATCGAGTCATTTTCGGATGCACGTTATGTAAGCGATGCCTTCATGCATTCCATTGTACACTTTTCTTGTCTTTTGTGGAAGGTCTTTCAGAAATTCCCTTGAAGGTATGCGCGTGCTGAAGATTGCATACCACACCTCTGTCACATCTCATTTTACAACACAATTCTTCTTTTGTTCACTGTATTGTGCAAACTTCCTTGTGGGTAGTTGAACAGCCTCAGTTACTTAAATTTTCCTCACCTGTTGCTTAATGAAGGCTGAATAACAATTTAAATGTAGGTGACTGAAAATAGCTTTTACCTATTATCAGTAAACATCATGTAATTTCTTAATTTAATCAAAAAGTTATTTATGTAATATTTGGCTTTGTGCTCTTTAAAACAACACAAAGGTGCATTGTGCAGTCCCACAGTCTTCCTCTAAAGGAAATTTAGACCCTTGTTTTTGTTGAAGTCAAGTGTTGTTTTTATTCACGTCAAAGAATCTTTCGGATACCGTGTCTCATCTTTGTATCTACGAGGAAACACTTGTCA